ATGTTTACGTCAAGGAATAAAAAGGGAATTTATTAAAGTAGGGTGGGTGTTAGAAAACCTCACCAACAGCCTGCCTTTATTTCCCAATCATATGCTTCCCAGCATGTTCTAAGAGCATTATCTCCAGGAAAAGAATGTTGAGCTCATATATCTAATTTTATTTCTACCCAAAATAAGCCATCCCTCTTCATCTAAGGAAAAAAAAAAAACCTAATTGAATTAAAATTTTAAAAACACATGGACAATTACTATGAATTACTGAACCTTTACTGATAGAGTATAAATAACTGGGAGCATCTTTTGCATGAGTATAGTACAAACAATATGAAAAAGTCTGACCTGTTACGACTTATACTGTGCTCCCAATCCTTTCTGTCTGGGGTTTCTGGGCATGTCCTGTCCTATTTTTAATTTCATGCACAAAATTGAAGTTTATTCATTTCTGTTGTCAACTGCTTCCTTAAATTTACCTCCATTTAACAATATCTTAATCAAATATAGTAAAAAGTATGATCCAAGGTACAATTTCCACGCTTAAGGAGCTCGTAATATAGGCTGGAAGATACTCAAATCTATACACATACATACGCACTCTGCTAGCACAGTTTGGTAAGTACTGGACATGCCATGTAAGTGGATATCCAACACAGGAAAAACTGGTGCAGACTGAAGGGACAGGAAGAGGGAGTTTAAGAGATGTGGTGGGATTTGAGCTGGCCTTTAAGGCATGAGTGGAATTCACATAAGCAGGGAGGTAGGGAATTTTAGGTTGCAACAACAAAAGGTGTTAGAGTGCGGAGTAAGGAAGAGAATGTTTGGCACACGGTTCAGAGGCAGAAAATAAAATAGTAAGTAGTAAAAGAAAAGGGTTTATATCTCATCTTTTTTCTACTCCCAATATAACCGTGAGTTACGCATCCTCCCATCATTAACAGGGGCAGTGGGCACCAGTACATATTTCCACATGTGACAGTCATGATACTAACATTAGGAAGAAAGGCAAGAGGATGAGGTAAGTACTTATCCTGTGACTTTACAGTTTTTAGATGTTAAGTGGTAAGGGTGGCAACCAGTGAGAATGAAAAACACTGGCAAAAATAGGAAAGTTCAAAATTGAAGCCCTTTTTTCCCAACACAATGAGACTCATTTTAGACATACTGACTTTGAAATCACAAACACGGAAATGCCTAAGTGGAGAGATGACACTGGTCTTCAGGAGAACAGAGGGCTGGATAAATACTTGGGAGTCATCAGCATAAGGATGACAGGGGTATGTAAAAGAAGGAAGTGGGCGAGGAGAGAATGCGTCAGTCAGTCCCTGGCAAAGGAACAGAAGCAAAGGGTCAGAGAGGTAGAAGAATATCTAGGAGAATGCAATCCAAGAAAGCAGTAACCAATGGATACAGCCATAAGACTATTGCTGGTCCTGAGCAGAAAAATTAAAGCACAGTGGTAAGTAAAGTACAGTAGATTAAATAAGGTTAATCAAAGGATAGGAAGAGAAAAAATGGCCATGCAAAGCAACAAGAAAAAGAAACATAGGCTGGTAGCTAAAGTGACAGCAATAGCAAAAGTAAGTAAATAAATACAAGTATTTTCCAATTGGTGAGTCCTATGTACAGATAGCCCGGTGTGGAGCTTGAAAATGAAGGGAGGGTGATAAGGAGATGAAAGGAGGGGGCAGAATGTTACTACTAATCAGTGCATTTACTGAACTTTTACTCGACGCCAATCCCTCTGTGAGACACTTTACCTGCATTATTTCATTTTAGTCTTACAGCAACTCTAAGTGCTTGGTATTTTTATTATCCCATGTTGCAGAAGATAAAACTAATGTGTAGAGTTGTTAACTTACTTACTTAGGATCAATAACCTAGAAGACCCAGAACCAGGAACTAAATTGAAGTTTGTCTGATACCAAGTTGTTCCTATAAACTTCCATGCAAAACTGAAGAAAGCAGACATATGAAGGTGAATTTCAAAATATGTTAAATAATCAGAAGAAAAATCTTAATAAAATTGTACATAGGCAGTTTAAGGTAAGAAAATATGTAGGTCTATCTTCTCTTAACATTTCGCAATAAACATTTCACAACAACAATAAACATCTGCAATAGAATGACCTCATAGAGCTTTTTCCCCTTGGATCACTTTGGGCCTAATTTCTCCACATTCCTGGTGTATCTCATGTGCGTTAAGAGTGGTCATCTCATGAAATTAAATTTGAACTTGTTGCTTTGGTTTTCAAGAAAAAAATCTTGAACTGAAAGTTTTCAATATGTAGTTCATGGGACTACAGACAGGAAACAAACATTTAGAATTTAAATATGTAGCACATTTTCTAATTTTACTGAATTAGGAAGACTATATAAATGCAAAAACAAAAAAATAACTAGTCTTTTGGCACTTCGGTCACACATGAAAAGGCTTTGAAAGTTTGGTTACTGGCTTGAGATATAAGCTCATACAATAACTTTCTGTGACTTTATAAATATGGAGAAAAGCAAGAACACTCAGAAAAGCCAACTTTGGATTAGGCAGACACTTGCTGTTAGGTCAAAATTCCCTTACTTCTCCCCTGATGCCTTCATGTTGGCGTTTCTCATTAGCATCTACATTAGGAAAGTGGAGTCAGAAAGAAGCAGTGAAGTGCACATTCCTCCATTTTGCTATTTATTAAAAGCTGCAACAAACTGCCTTTTGCCAGAGAAATTAGAAAATAAGCTCTAGGAGTTGCAATTACTTACAGATTTTAATTATCCATGTTATTACTAGTCTGTGCCTTATTACCAATGGGTAAATCAGAATTAATTCAATAGGTATGGAAGTCTACATATCACCACTTCTGAGAAGCTGTCTTGTGCTTCAGAAAATTGAAAATGATCATTAAAATTAAAACTTTTAATGATTTGTAGATGTCAATTATCCATGTCATCATAGTCTAGTGTCTCATTACCATGGATAATACAGAAACACCTATATCAGAATGGAATGAGTAATGAATGCACTAATGCAAAGTTTTAATCCAACGTTCTTTTCAATGAACTGATGTTTGACCATTATAACTTAGTCTGTGCCAACCATACTCCAAGATGCCTTTTATTTACAACACGCAAAGCAAAAAATGCAACAATTTAGATTCCCTATGCCCGTCACACATTTGAATTCAGCAAAGCTTAGGTTTAACATATACCTTACCATCACCACTAAGTAAAGAAAGATAGCCCTGGCTGATGTGGCTCAGTGGATTGAGTGCCAGCCTGCAGACCAAAAGGTTGCTGGTTCAACTCCCAGTCAGAGCTCATGCCCAGGTTGCAGGCCAGGCCCTCAGTTGGGGCGTGAGAGGGGCAACTGATCGCTGTTTCTCTTGCACATCATGTTTCTCTCCCTTTCTCCCTCCTTTCCCCTCACTCTAAAAATAAGTAAATAAAATCTTTTTAAAAAAAGAGAGAGAGATAAGCAAATCACAAAGGAATTTTGACTAACAAAACTGTAATTATAAGAAATCAAATATTCAAGGATAGCCCTTTTAGCCTAAAAGGAACAAAGTAAATTTTAGTATTTGTCCAAACTGGCTATTTAAATTCACATCCTCAAAAGATGCAGTAGGGAAAACCAATAGACAGATGTACATAAATAAAATACTATCTATCATAAAAAAAAAAAAAAGCTTTGTTCTTTGAAACATTATCTGGTTAAATTTAGAAGCTGTCCAAGATTATATCAGTAACTGTATCTATTTCTTCAGACTGATAAAACTTTTATAGATTATTTTATCTTCCATTCTTAAACTATTTTCAGCATTTTTTAAGAAGCTCAAAAACTGCACAAAAATAATGTAATTGAGGTAACCCCCCATCTCACTACCACAAAGAGAAAAAAAACATTAGTGATGATCTCTTGACTTCTGCATCACCTTTAGAAAATTCCAGTGCATGTAATAAACGCAGCCTTCCTATCTGAGCACCAACTTCCAACAAGGAGTCTCTGGCTCCCTCCGAATTCCCTCAGTGAACCATCCTCCCTACCTTAGCACAGTCTACCTGGCAGGCAATCTCTGGTGAATGTCCCACATCAAACCAAAACAATGGATCTAACAATTTAAAGCCTTCACCCACTGAAAATTGAGAGAAGCAGGGAAATCAAACATACAAGTAACATGTTAAGAAATGCCCATGCATGAGCTCTTGCTGGCAGCTGCGCCCAGTGCTTTCACGCCCAGCCTCCTGTAGGCACTGGTGCAGTGTTCAGGAAACGTGCCCCAGGAACATGGCCACATGCAATGCTTACGCTTCTAACTGCAACGCTGCCTGGTTTTCTGTATTTTTAATGTCTGAAAAACCCCTTTTTGTGTCATTTCCCAATCAGAAATTGAGGTTTTATTACCTTTTCTATTTTATATGTAAAATGAAGCTACTTAACACAGCACCTAGTGAAAATGAATTAAATCTCTTTATGCCAAAGTTTAAGATATCCTGACTACTAAGCAACTTATAAAATACTATTTTAAATTATACCACATCATTTCCCCTCTACCAATAACATGAGAAATAGTCCTTTAAAATACTAGGTCTCCTTGCTAACAAAATCTCACAGCTATGAAAAAACAATCTGCATTTTCATGAACATGATGATGATGATGATGATGATGATGACAAGTTCACTCATTACATTTTATTGGTGCAATAATATTTACATTGCAAGCCATTAAAACTTACCTTTAATGATATAATATGCAGGTAAATATTATCTTTAAAATACTTCCAAACTAGAAATTAATGATTAAAAATACTGCTTTCTCATTGCAGTGTGGTCTCTACAGGCCAGAATTCAGAGAAAAACAGTCATTTTACGAACGATAACTATTTATATCACATATGTAATAGGTATTCCTTGGTCTATTCACCAACACCACAATCAACATAGTAAATGACCCTATATCTTTAAAATAAATTCTCCTAAGTCAGAAATGGAATACTGAATTTCACAGCTCACATACCTGAACCTCGCTTGTTCTCTGTTTAAGAATATCTTCTTTCTCCTTAAGGTCCTGTTCCACATTATTCTTTTCCCTAGAAGACCAGCAAACAATGCAAGAATATTTGAGAACATCAGCTACAGCCGGTATGGTTATCCATCCTCCTAATCCTGAATCGCTTTTTAAATACATAGTGAAACATTCAATTTTTAAATGAGGGGCAGATTTTTCTACCCTCTTTTAATTATTTATGGAACAGAAATCAATATAAAACCCTGATTGTTAAAAAAAATATCAAATCTCTCTCACTAAAATGAAAAGAGAATAGATTAAAAAAGGAAGAGGAGAAAAATAATCAATGAAACACTCAGGTTTCACTGATCTCACTGTTGCTATGGAAATGCTGTCCAATGAAAACTGCTGGTGAAAAAAAGGAGGGGTTGCATCAGCTCTGTAACCTTAACCCTTAAGTACCACTGTGAAATCAAATGAAAATGGCTAATAGAAACAGTCAAATATTAAGAAAAAGGACATTTACTGAAGTGTTAATGTCCCCTTAAATCATTGGTGTGTACCAATTTTAGAATGAAATATAGAGAAAATGGGAAGGATTGCCAATACACAGGCCAGTCGTTCTAGCAAATACATCTGCTGAAAAAATCTGTTTTAGATCACTGATCAATCTCAATTGATCAAATATAAAAAACAATGCAGCATTAGCATTTATCTTTTTACTCTTCAGGTGAAACATGCTAGGATCCTCTTTTACTTTGAAGGATAATGTATTTAAATTCATACATTATCCCTCAAAGCTGGATTCCTAATAAATGAATCCTAACAATCTTAGATTCAGAATTACAAAATAAAGCTATTTCTTTCGATGTAATAAACTTAACTGCTGTTTGCACTGAAATCACACACACACACACTGTCTCTCTCTCTCTCTGCTCCATTCACTTTCTTTTCTACAAAATGAGAGAAAAAGCCATAAATTCTGCAGTAATACATTTTTGGGGCGGGGGCAAGGTTAAAAAAGGCAACATGAAGAAGAGAGGAAGGCATTCAAGAAGTCCTCCAGACTAGCACTGCAGAGTTGACCCTTACAGCTTCATGACAATATTTCACTTTCATCTCAGACATAACCCAAACAAGCTCAGGTTACATTAAACGGAAGCATACAGGAAAGTGAGAAAACAGCAGCAAAGGAGATACTTAAGAGGCAACTGCATTCTACACTTGTACTTCTCACCTTTTTGAGTGGGATTTTAAATGCAGACAAAACTCAACTGTTCTGGATATGTAGGTACAATGTTTTTAATATTTGTATGGGAGGAAAAAAGCACAAGAATAAAGCTATATGTATACTGTTACTTTTAAACACCTGAGATGGCCAAAGAGCTCACTAACTGTTTCTCAGATGGGTCATAATATGGGTCATGATATTGCAGAGATTTTCAACAGTCTCTTACCTCATGAGTCATTGCGGCAGCCCATTCCTCCCATACCTTAATCTACTTATTATGCAAAGGTCATACCCCATTACCAATCCTTATAAAATTATGTAAAGTTGAAAAATAGAAAAACATAGGAAGAAAAAAAATCTAAATATACCCTACAAATTCTGCCAGCTCAATCTTGGAAATTTTTTCTTTCCCACATATATGAGCAGAAGTGTTTTCTCAGTCTGGCTACAGCATGTCAGAGATAAATAAAATGAAAAACTAGCCTCTTCCCTGTACCCTAGATCCCCAGAGGCAATCCACACAAGGTCAATATCAATTCTGTTCCTCATTTCTGAAAGTAGATCATAACAAAAATAGAAAACATTACATGGTATCCTAGATCAGCATTACACACACTAATGTATGTGTTTGTATTCAATCCCTCCTTTTCCGCCGCTAACAGCTTCACTGGCTGTATCTGCTGAGATCAAGTGTATGTGCAGAAAAACAGGACTGCAAGAAGGCAGTAAGCTGACACGTGAATGGGAGAGCAAAAGAAAAAGGCTCACTTGGTGAAAAAGGAAAACATTACCAAGAGCTCTCAGCTCTAACAAGCAAACACAGTCTATGTTTGGATAAAATGAAGGATGCTTAGAAAGTACAATTTCTCTTTACCATTTTGGGCAAGAGAGGGGTAAGGAACAATGGTAATGTCTACAAACATATCTTGAAAATGATTCCCAACTAAATAAAATATAGGAATCTTGAGGCATTAATTTCTCTTAGTACTGAAATTAAATTTAACTTTTGACTTACTTTTACCTAGTAAAATTCTGATTTCATAATTCCTTTTACTATCAAAACCAAGTAGTATAACATATACTCCTAAACAGAAAACTTGAAAAAAATAAAATCACCAGTTTTATTACTTTCTATAAAAAATGTAACTGAAATCATGTCCTATAAATTAGACTGACAATCAAATAATTTTCTCATTGGCTTAGATTATAATTACAGAGATGCCAAAATGGTATTCTGTAGCATTCCATAGAATCTTAGCCTCTAGCAGGGGTATCCAACCTTTTGGTGTCTCTGTTTCACACTGGAAGGAGAGTTGTCTTGGGCCACATATTAAATACACTTTGACACATAATAAAAAACCTCATGTTTTAAGTAAATTTATGATTTTGCTTTGGGCCACATTCACAGCCATCCTGGGCTACATGCAACCCGCAGGCTGCAGGCTGGACACTTCTGTTAGCTATCCTTCTCATTTTGGACAAGTAAAAATATCTAAACACATTTAGGTGCACTAAAGGTGCTTGGCCATATTTCTTACATTTTCCTCTCTTTCAAATTAACATGTATTTTTATTTTCTTTTAAAAGATCTTATTTATTTTTAGAGAGAGAGGAAGACAGGGAGAAAGAAAGGAAGAGAAACTTCAATGTGTGAGAGATACATCAATTGGTGGCCTCTCAAATGCTCCCAACTAGGGACATGGCCCACAACCCAGGCAGGTGCCCTGATCGGAAATCAAACAAGTGACCTTTCAGTTCAGAGGCTGGTGCTCAATCCACTGAGCCACACTAGCCAGGGCTCAAATTAGCACATATTTTTCTAAAGGTAATGGATGTATAACTAGTGCAAAGCATTCTGTTTAATATTAGTAATTAAAAAATTTAATTATTTTCAAGATTCTGTACCAGAATACAAAATAATATTTATATGCAGTTTCCTAAGAAATCCACCAATATATGTGGATAAGACAGACATAAAATATATTTCAAATATAGGTATGTGAGCATTTTTCCCAGAGTAGTAATCATCTTCGATGTCACGACAGGAAAAGCTATTGCCTTCACCTTGGTAAATTCCAGAAAATGGAAATGAAATGATCCTACACACCCTCTATCTTAGACTATTCACTCTAAGATGCTGGTACAACCTGAGGGATCCAAGAATACCAAAGCCATAAAGAGAGGCTAGGCATAGAGCTCCCTGGTGTTCCAAAGGCTGACTGTTCTGATTTGGTGGAAACTAAAGTCTGAATCAGCAAGGAAAGCAAAGCCCAAGCTAGGCTTTCGACGTCTCAAGTTGAATAACTACATAAACCTCATATGAAGTAGTCAAAAGCTATTCACAGGGACAATCAGGCTGAGGACCTTGAGTTCATGCAATTCACTTCCATTTACCCAGGCTCTGTTTATGGGGAGGAGGGAGTGAGCTACCTGCCTTAATTTTTATATAACAATATATTCAGAAAAACAGGATTAAATCACTTTCAAAGTCCTTTCAGATTCTCAGTTTTATGTCTTTTTTCCTAAATAGAAGCATCTATTATTTTCCAACCAGAAAACAATAAAAACTAAAAACCAATAGAAAACTAGAAAGTTGTGAAGCATATGAAAGTATATTTTTCCATCCTAAGACTTATATAACTCTGAAGATGCTCTTAGTATTAAGTAGCTTAACTGCCAATAAATCTCTCTAACAAGTAAACACACACACAAAAAAAGCACACTATTCTCCTTACATAGTCTTCAGTAAGGCATGTGGGTTTTATGGAAAGCAAGAAAAATGGGACTAAAACTGGAGAACTGGAAACAACCTGGCTCTGCTGTGAAATAGTTCTGTTGACTCTAATCAGGTCACATAAACTTTCATTTTCCTATTTTTCATTATGCAGATGCTAGTATCTCTACCATCTTAAGATTTGCAAGGCAAAAAGTACAAGATGGCATGTAATTAGGAAAAAAAGTAGGCTTCCAGCCTATGCTTTGGTTGCTTTTTACTTACACTAACATTACTAATAATTTTTAAAAACATTGATGGAGTAATTTTAAAATTTGTTAAAAGGAATTATGATTTACAAAAACACTTAGAAAATGATCTAATACACAGCTGTAAACTATTTAATCACTGAACTCTCTACCCCCCAAACCTTGTAACTATTAAAAATAATCCACCTCTCTATTATTAGAAACTGATCATATGGTTTTCTTTTCCTTCTCTCTTTCTCTTTTTTTTTTAATGGTTTTCAAAGCATAAGACTTAGAGTAATAGTCAAGAATTCAAATGCTGGCTCCATCACAGGATATGACATCTGGCTGTGAAAGCCACTGGGGATTCTGTCCACTAGGGAGAGACAGGAGTCTGCTAGACACTCACTGCCCTCTTAAAGGGCCAGCGCACCCTGCTCTCCAATGAAGGGAGGGTAGATCAGAGCTGACTGAAGTTATGCAAAGACAGACTGGGAGTTGAGAGTTGATGGGACAGCCACCAGGGTAACTGTGCTGAATCCCTCTCCCACACAGCGAACAGAAGCCATCTTCCCTGGATGGAGCATCAGCCTAGAGAAATACAATAACTCTACCCTCCCAACTACCTGTCACAAGCCCTGCCTAGCTCCTCCCTGCAGAGGAGTCACCAAAAAAACAAACAATCCAATTAAAAAGTGGGCAATGGACCTAAACAGACACTTCTCCAAATGGGACACAGAGGAAGGCCAACAGACATATGAAAAGATACTCAATGTCACTATTATCAGAGAAATGCAAATTAAAACCACAAAGAGATTATCACCTTACACCTGCCAGAATGGCTATCACCAATAAATCCACAAACAGCAAATGTTGGCGAGGATGTAGAGA